GTGCAAAATTCGATCATTCTCTCTTCAGCTCCATTTCTGTCACTGAGTTCATGTTTTCCAACTACTGAATCTAAGTATTTTGTTAAAATTTGTTGCCAGGCGTGGCTATGTAGACAGCAAACCTATGTACATCAGGACAGAGCATTCATGAGGGCTATCCTCATCACCTCTTCAGTGCTCCAGCCCAATGAGGCATTCACACAGTTATCTACCATTATGTCATTCTCTTTTGTATGACCCTAATATTCCAAGAATGGTATCCTTATCAGGGACTGCTCCCTTCTGATAGCAAGATAAGCTTTTTTGTTTATTTTACCCCTTTCAAAACTATTTTTTAAAATTAGTACTTTTAGCATTCATACATTGTGTTCATGCATGTAACCCAAAGCTTTTGTGATTAATTCTACAATCCTTGCTTTCTAAGAGCACTCTGGTTGTACTTTTTCCAAGCCAGGATTGTTTTTTTGCAGTCTATAGTATATTCTATATTCTTCACCACCACCACCATTTAAAAGTTATCAGTTCTTCACTCTTCCTTATTCAATGCCCAACTTTCATGTGCATATGAAGCAGTTGAAATGTGGCTTGGTAAGGCACACCTTAGTCTTTAAAAACTCATGGAAGCAACAGTCAAGAAAGACTGACATGGTGGTTGGGAGGAAACTAAGAAAAGAGGGGATAAATAATGAATAATGCATTGGAACAGATAAAGGAAAGAACTGTTTAAAAAGATGTATGATTAGACATTACTTGTATGACAACAGTCCAGAATAAAAGGCATATAACAAAGTTGCCTGGGAAGGGGGAGAATTATGCAATGATGAATGAATTTTTTTTTTAATAGTGAACTGAGTGGGTAGGAAGGAAAATGTGCAACAACGAATGAATGAAAATCCAACTTTTCTGTAAACTTTCATTAAAATCACAAGTAAAAAAATAAAATCAAGTAACATACTGCAGTGAGTAAATCTGCTGCCAAGGAACTCTTCAAGGTGTTAAAGAGCAAGGATACTACTTTAAAGACTAGGGGATGCATGATCCAAGCCATGATATTTTCAATTGCTTCACATGCATGGCAAAGTTTTTAAAAATAATGTATTAAAATTAATGAAAGACACATAGCAATTAAAATCTTTCATTCATCTTTGGGTAGATACTGAACCCTTTCAAGAGGTGGTAAAATAAAAAAAACATATCCTTCATGGTAAATCTGTATAGAATAATTTCTAAACCACACACTGTCTCAATTTTAACAATACAAAAACATTCATAGTTACTCCAGTAACAGTGGCAAAGTTTAACAGGGCAGCAAGTAATAGATGTTGGAGAGGATGTAGTGAGACAGTAACTCTTTTTTTTTTCTTCTTTTATTAATTTTAATAAACATTTCCAGAAGTTTTGGATTTCCATTCATTCATTGCCGTACTTTTCTCCCTGCCCACCCCTCCCCACAAGTTCGCTCCCCTCTCCAAAAAGAAAAAGAAAAAAAATTCATTAGTATACAATTCCCCTATCCCTTTCCCCACACCCCCCACCCCGAGTACACTTCGCTATGCAACCTTAATTCTGGATTCCTGTGCTAGCCATAATACTCAATCATACATCACCTCTAATCTGTTCTTTCCCTCATCTGTTTCAATACAATATATATAATTTATCCAGTTTTTTTCGAGACAGTAACTCTTATATGTTGGTGGGATTAAAAAATGGTACAACCATTCTGGAAGGCAGTTTGGCACTTCCTCAAATAGCTGAACATAGAAATTCCATTATGACCCAGCTATTCCACTCCTTGAGATATTCCCTGAGAAAATTAGAAATGAGGTACAAATGGAGATATGTACACCAATGTTCATAGCAGCATTATTGACCATCATATGTCCAACCACAAACAAATGGATAGAGAAATTATGGTACATTTACAAAATAGAGTACTATGCAGCACAGAGGAAAAATGATTTTGTAAATTACTACCTAACTTGGGAGGGACTGGAGAGCATTATGCTGAGTGAACTAACTCAGTCCCACAGGATAAATACTGTATAAAACCATTATTGCAGAATGAGTATATGGATCTAAGAGGGGTGGGAAAGGGTGGGAAAAAATTCTAAAAGGCCGAAGTTTTATCAAAGAAGTACTATAGTAGATTTGGTGGTTGGGAAGAGATAAGGAGAATCAAGGCCAAAAACATTATTTTAAGACTTCCTTAAAGGTTTCCTTAAAGGTGGTGTAGTGGTTAA